TCGAGCCCATACTGAAAAAGTAAAAATTTACACACTTTGTTACAACATTTTAAAAGTTACAACAAAATAGGAATGCTGAAAATACATCAAAATGTTTTATTATGCAGCAATAACTAAAATAGTGAAAACTTTTCAAATTTCTTTTAGGATGCTTTTTAACATTATAAATAATGTAAACATTCTTGATATTGTCATAATTTTGAGAATAAACTAAAAAGTAAAAAATAAAAATTAAATAAGACTTTAATATGATTTTCATAAATTTATATAAGTCATGTACTTTGACAATGACACTATTGTTTTTCTGCTGGTGACAATGCTATATATATAAGCCAGTTTCATTTTTTGTGTAACGCTCAGATTATGGGTCACTTTTAAATTTAAGTTGCACCATTCTTATTGATGTTTGACAGTGTACTCAAAAATTGTTCTTATTTCCTTAAAGTTTAATTTTTCTTTTCAGATGAATGGAAAAGTTTGATGGACAAAGCTTGCTGAAGGAAGGGCAAAAACTCTCATTTATTTTATAAAATCCCATCATTTTGTGGCAGGTACACAGCTAGTATACATATAAATTGGAGGTAAATGTAAGCAGATAGTTTGATTACATGCACAGCATGAGACTTATACAGTGGGAAATGTAATTGAGAAGATTACGCTTCATACCATTTAAATACACATCTTTAACCTTTTTTTTGTATGTGTATAGCTAAAAGTTAGTGTTCTCAAACATAAAGAAAACTGTACACTAAATTTTAAAAATTTACCCCAATTTGCCAGCACAAAGTTACTTGTAAGTCAAGCAGAAGTAATGGATGTGGACTAAGCAGCCCAGAATTAACATAGCAGAACTGGTGGTTTTGCTCACAGCTTTATGTTCAGACAAAGAGAAATTAATTTCAACTTTTACTGTATTTAATTAAGTGAGGTGTCTACACACACATCAATTAGTTTGTCCAATCTTTCGTGTCATTTCATAGTATTATTGAAATGGGTATGACTAATAACAAGTTTTGCACAATATATATTGAGAAAAAAATGAAAATATAAGGATGCCCAATCATCTGTCTAAGACAGATGTAAAAATATTTTGATAAATTGGGATACAACTAATAAATGTTGATATTTTGGTTCTTCACACTGTCTAAATCAATAAATGTAAAAAAATTGTTGAATGTTTGGATTAACACTGAATCATTACATGTGCAATTTCTGTATTACATTTATTTAATAGTGTAATAAAAAAACTCAAACACAACCAAGAAAGATTATTAAGTAATGTGTTTGAATTGAAGACAAAAAATAACTAACTTAAAAACTTAACTAGCTGCCTTCCCTTTATAGTCTATTGATTCAAAAGTAGGGATAAGTAATGAAGATTGCACAAATACCTGAAACACACAAAACTTATATGATTTTCTTGATGTTAATTACATTTATGTATGAAACATTTACATTACAAAAACACTAATGAAAAGGAGAATTTAATTCTAGTCTTAACTTTTAAGATTAATATGTCTGTTTAAAGCTTAGTTGTATGGTTTTGGACAGATAAGGTGAATTTGGATAAAATATCGTAACCCTTACTTTTTGGGAATATCATCATCTAGAAAGAGTATAAATGTTAGATTAGAACACACTTGGTTTTTGTATGATTATATGAACATATAATCTCATGCCTACTGTGCAACAATCACTTCAGTTTTTCGTATCCATACTATACACTTAAATGAACTTCTGTGCAAGTTACAGAAGGCATAAAAGTTGAAAATCGTTTTTTCACCCCCTTTAGTTCTTCAGTTTTAGATTTTATAC